GCATTAGCAGACACTGATGTACTGTGTTGCACCCAACTGCTTGACTTCTTCAGGAAATCAAAACTCACCCAACTGCTTGACTTCTTCAGGAAATCAAACACCCCTCGATCAAAAACTTACTGGCCCTTGAGACAATCAATGTTAACTATACTGGAGATGATCCTGCAGATCAATGGCTCCAAGTCTTCACTGATGGGTCGGAAAGCCAAGGAAACGTTGGTGCAGGTGTCTATTCTGAACTCTTCTCATCAATGGCTCCAAGTCTTCACTGATGGATCATACATAGAAAACCAAGCAACGGTTGGTGCAGGTGTCTATTCTGAATTCATCACTTTCTACGCAGCAGTGGGACACAATAGATCCGCTTTTGAGGGCAATAAGGATAGCACTATGCCAATCATGTTGCCTGAATACGAAATTCATCAAAGCGGTAATACTTTCGGACTCACAGTCAGCAATAAACTATTGTAAACAGAGAGACACCCAAAACAGCTGAGTTAAACGAGTGGAAACAGAGAGCCACCCAAAACAGCTGAATAAAGGTATCCGAATAAGTGATCCACCCAAAACAGCTGAGATAAAGGGATTTAGAAAAGTCTCTCAGCTACTGAGAGAGAAAAACAAAACAGTGGTCCTACAATGGATTCCTGGTCACTGTGGCATTAAAGGCATTGAGCTTGATGACACACTTACTAAGAAGGAGACAAAGATTTTGCATTGAATTCACCGGCCGATGTCTTTTCAAACAATGAAGACCTTAATCAGGAGAGAATTTCAGACCTCAAGGTGCAACGAACATAAAGCTCGAACAAAAGAGAAACAGTGGACAGTGGCACTCAGAAGCTCGAACAAAGGAGAAACAGTGGACAGTGGCACTCTCAACATACCCGACTGGCCAAGAATCGAAGCCGTTGCTGAGTCTTACCTCGAAGAAAGGAGAAACAGTGGACAGTGGCACTCTTCGAGGCCGACTGGCCAAGAATCGAAGCTGTTGCTGAGTTTAGACGAGTGGCACTCTACCACATAGCCGAATGGCCAAGAATCGAAGCCGTTGCTGAGTTTAGGAGTGGCACTCTACCACATAGCCGACTGGCCAAGAATCGAAGCTGTTGCTGAGTTTAGACTACGGTCCGGACACTATTGCTTGGAGAAAAGCCTTCACAGATTGGGAGTTTACACTCATCCCCATGCCCCCTATGTAACCTGCAGAAGGAAATGGAGAAGACCCACCTGATTCGGAGTCCAGCTCTATAGACAAGGACGGAAAGCCAGAGATACTGGGAAGCAAGAAGACAGCTAATGAACTGCTATTAATTAACTGCTATGTATGTACCACCCCACCCATGGGGAAAGCTGTAGTCAAAGTTTACGGTCTATCATAAAGCCTGCTATATTAAAAAATATTTATGAATAGGTCCGGATATTAATTAGATCGCCACTTGAAATGTTGAGAATTCCGTTCCATCTCATTTAAGGCACTTTTGGACAGAATTCGAAGAAAACAAAACTTACAAATTCAACCTCTCAAGAGATGAAAGTTTGATCAAACCACACCACAAGCCTCATTCTTATCCGAACTCTATATTAGAAAATTTAAATAGATATTTGGTCCTTTTATCAAGCCGTATACAGGTGAGGTCACCTTATTGAAGAGGGTGTATGAGAGATGGCTCTGCTTTACCTTGAAACAACGATCTTCATGCTGCATAAAGCCTTCAGGACAATATATTATTGGTGAATCAGCTCGGGCAAGGAGGACTGGTCTCGTGGAGTTGGGCCAATTTTCACCCTATTCGTCGTACAGTCGGATTCGTGACAGGTGGCGTCCGCAGATGAAAAGGCAATGCACACTTGCCAAGTTATCTTGAACGAATCAGATCAGATTCCTGATTTATATCTATATAGGACAAATTGCCCAATAAATTTATGAGAGATGCGGTTATGAGTGACAAATATGGAAAGCATGTATTCATGATTTCAAGCAGCTAATCAATCACTGGAAAAAATTCAAACGCCATAGATGTCTAATACCTGTGGTGATATCAAAGCATTGCCAACCATAGTCCCTTCTACACCTATCAATCCTAGTTCGAATTCTGCGTAGACGTCTCAGGTTACATGAATATCGACCTACTATCTCTGGCCGTTAAAACAATGGTATATTTACGGTTCAAATCAAAAAAAGGTAAGTTTTCTTACTCAGTGGAGACGTAGAATTATTGGCACTGGAGGTCACTTTGAATGTAAGGCAATCCAGAATGTGCCATATATGGGAGAGATCAACACACACACACACACACACACACCAAATTTTTGGGCATACGGTCGACTATCCTGGCGTCAACACATTTGTACTCGAGATCCGTTTGCATCAAACGCATCCAATAGGCACCCTTTCTGTACTTAGACGACAACAAATTCAATTGCACGCGAACGTAATCAAAAGACAATTTGACTGCTCATTTAGCCATAATTTTGAGCCAATCCCTAAAATTGCCCTCTAGAAAATGACTTGGACTTAGTAAGAGTTTCTGAATTGTGAAGATAAATCGATTTTTAAATTAAAATTAGTTAAATTTGTTGGATTTTAATTAACATAGGCCTCATTAAAATGAAGGAAATGCCATTGCAAATCAAAAAGTTTGTTCAATAAGCCACATTCTCTTCGGTTTTGCCTTCTTATTCTCCTTCTTCTTGGCAACTTCCATTGTTTCATTTTCTACTTTCTTATTCTCCTTCTTTGTTGTTTGCTTTGTGGGGCTTCTTCTCTTCCAGAGGATTGGTTTCTGGTGCTTCTCTTGAATTTGCAGCTTTACTTACTGAAGTCTCTAGCACCTTGGCTAGTGAGGTGGGAGAACGAGTCGGGCTGTCTTCTTTCGGCGTTGGGACAGTAGTTT